TGTGTGTGTGTGTGTGTGTGTGTGTGTGTGTGTGTGTGTGTGTGTGTTTGGAGAGAGAGAGAGGCAGAGGTGCAGAAACCAACAGCGGTCACTGCTGGTGACAGGGACTGGGGGCTAGGGTGGGCAGGAGATTTACTTCTCATTATTTGTTCTTTAACACTATCTGTTTTTTTTAATTCAAAACGGTTTTTGAAAGATAAGTTATGTTAAGAAAAATGCTAAGAGGTCCCCAGCATGTCCCTCACTCATCAGACTCTTCACAACTATTACTACACTACATGCGGCCAAACGTGAGAGAAGGAACATTTGCCGCTGGGGGGTGGGGGGGTGGGGGGCAGGCGCCAGGGTCCTGGGACAGAGGTGCTGAGGAGTCTGTGCAGGGAACAGTAGCCTGTTTTTGGCTTGGCACTCTACACTGTGATGTCCCTGGGCCTGGGGACTGCTCTGAAAAAGGCCTGTGAGTTCCCGAGATGCCAGGCCTCTAGGGAGAGGTGCCTGGAAGACGGGCAGGATTACTGCTTCTTTTCACTTCCGTCCGGAAGTTCTGCCAAGTTTTGGAGTAAGCGCTCCTCCCCCTGTGCACCTGTTCTCTAGCTGGGACTGGGATGCGGACACACCTGCAGAGTACGAGCCCGTGTTCATACATGGAGATCACGGGAAGTAAAGTCCTGCACTGTTATAGGAAACTATACTAAGAAAATTTCTTTATTTCACAGATAAAACATTTATTACAGGCAAGCAAAAAGAAGAACATCCAAACCACTTGGAATCTACCATCAACCACTCTGTTGGTGTATATCTTTCTAGAATTCCAGAAAAATTATATAGTACATTATTACTTTGTAACTTTTTGCATGTGATATATTTGGAACATCTTTAAATATACTTCATAGCATCGTTTTTAAATGAGTGGTTTTCTATTGTACAATATGCCATAATTTATATAACTGGTCCCTTACTGTTGAGCTCCTGAGTTTCTAATATTTCACTGTTATAAATGGGAATGGTAAACATTCTTATAATCTGCTATTTGAATACATTTTTGCTTATTTTGTAGGATTAATTCCTAGAAATGACCTTCTTTTGCTGGTCCAAAGATCAGGCATGTTTTTATGACTAGAGAAACACTATTAATATATAGTGTAACCCCAAATAATAACAATTATGATAATAAATTAGTAATTTAAATATATAGGAAGTTATTATTTTAAAAATAAGTTTATTTTGGGATGCCGGGGTGGCTCAGTCGGTTAAGTGTCTGCCTTCGGCTCGGGTCCTGGGTTTGAGTTCCACATCAGGCTCCTTGCTCAGCGAGGAGCCTGCTTCTCCCTCTGACTGCCATTTCCCCTGCTCATGCACTCTCTCTATCTCTGACAAATAAATAAAATAAAAAGTTTATTTTGATAGTAATATAGGTGTTTATGTTCATTATAGGAACTTGCTGAAAATACAGAAAAGAGGAAAAATACCAGCAATAGATAGAGCATTTAAATACCAGTTGTCATACTATGTATGATTTTATAACTTTTTCCTTAAAAGTAAAGATTTGAGATACTATGTTACATAACTAGACTATTTCTGAGCCCCCCCCCTTTTTTTTGGAGGGACAGGCATTTGCAAAAGTTAATTAGCTGGCATCTTTCCATTCCTAGCTGTGACGGTTCATGTGGTGACCTGAGCAAACTTGTTCTTTGCCGTCCAGGGCGGTTCCGCACTTGCACCGCACCCCCCCTCCCCTGCTGCCTGGCCCACTCCGGCTGGCCGCTCGTTGGTTGACACTGACCACTCAGCCTGCTCTTCTTGATCTCCTCCTAGGTGTCAGAATTGGGAAGGTGGAATTGGTGGGGTGCCGGGGATGGAAGCCCACGGTGGCTATACTTTCTGTGGCCTGGCTGCACTGGTCATCCTCAAGAAGGAACGTTCCTTGAACTTGAAGAGCTTATTGGTAAGTGTCTGTTGACCCCTCTTCCTCTCAGGCCCTAGGCCCCTGGTGATGTGACTGCTCAGCCTCACAGGCTTGGGGACGGTTCGGCTGTGGGAAGGGCCTAGAGTTCCTGCCCTGAGCCCATGAACTAAATGACCTGTAATGAAGCTTTTCAACGCAGTTGTTGGGGCGCTTAGTACTTTTCCAAGAAAGCGGGAGGGGTGAACGTCTGCTCTCGGCCTTGGCTCCTTTCTTCCTGTCTTTCCATCTTCCTGCTCTAACCTTTCTGTGGTGTGTTAGGCCAACTCCATAGTCGTCTTGAGTCCCTCACACATCTGGCATGAGCCAGAGTACTTTGCTCATACTTCAAGACTGTAGCTTCAGTCTCTTAAATTTGTGTGTCTTAGAACTAATCTCCTAAGAGAAAACGTCGTGAGAAGGTCTCTCAGGCCTTTTGAAGCCAAGCTTTTGTTACTGACTGCAATATGTGAACATGTAGTAAATACATTTAAATGAGCTGGGCAGAGCAGGGTGGCTGCATTGAGCAGGTGGCCCTGGCATGTGTGTCTGGACTCTAGCTAGGCTCCTGACAAATATTGAGAGGAATTCAGGAAGCAGTCAGCTTCAGGGAGTCACTAGATTGTACTGAAATTATCAGAGGCCTAGTGTACAAACACACACACACCCAGTGCCACCATCTTCAGGGAAGCATTTACTCCCAACCATGACCTCAAAGCAAACCAGCTGCAACTGACATTCACCTCCTCTCCCTAAGTTCAGATGTCAGCCTCTCATCATAGGAACTGTCGTGAGACCCATCATGAGCTTGCAAGAAAGTTTCTGGTATACTCTGTAGATACATGACCAGCAGTATTTTGTCCTCATCTTTAGGAAGCCTCCTATAGTATACTTTCCTTGAAGGTTCATGCTGAAATAGCCAACTTTGTGCACTGGACTTAGAGTTTGTTAGACATTTAAAAGTCTGATCACCAATAAGGCATGAAATATGAAAGTCCCATTTCCCAGGCAGAAATAAGGAATATAATTAGCAGAAGCCTCAGTTACAATGGCAGTATTCTAGATTGGAGCCCTGTCTCTACCACTTCCTAACCATGTGACCTTAGGAAATATGTCTGTTTTAGCTTCCATTTTTTTCTCTTCTATAAGGCAGAGATAACAGTTTTTTGAAGCTTAAAGGAGAGATTAGCAGTTCGGACTCTGAAAGTTAAAGGAGAAAAAAATCTATAAACCAGCCCAGCATATAGTAGGTGCTCACTAAATGCCAGTGTCCTTCTCACCCAAACTACTCTCTCCCTTCTGTTTACCCAGGAGACCTAGGACCCATCCCTGAAGGATTTTATGAATTCATATAGCCAAGGGAAACAGAATAAACCCATGGGCTTAGACATTGGAAAAAATTATTTAGTCTGACTTAAAAACCATTAGTCTGCGGAAAAAAAAAAACAACCCTTAGTCTGTAGGGTAAGTAAAAATGAAGAATGGACTCCCCACCGTAGTACCTGTTTTCTCTTTCCTTGAGTGTTACTTCACCTACTTTCATTAAATGGCATCATCCCTAAAGCACTGGCTCATTGAAACCTCACCGGGGACATATCAGTACCTGCACCTGCAGTCTAGTTTTTATGTCTGTCTTCTGAGAATTTGGGACTTGACCCTTATGGGTGAGTGTTGCCTTGAACAGGGATATAATCTAAACTCCACAACTACTAACTAAAAGCAGGCTGGACACCAACCCCCCCCCCATTCTAAAAAGGGCCCTTGGTGGCTCCTTTCGGGAACTTAGTCTAGCAAGAACCTAGGGACAAGGAGATGCCCTATTCTGCATCGTTCAGTTCTGAAAGTCGGTGGCTGGTGGCTGGAACTGCCTGGGAGGCAAATGGAGATGTCATTATCTGCTCAGCCAGTTGGTTCTGCTGATTCCTGGAGGCCAAACCCACGGCTATCTTGATTTTGGTAGCAGCACGTGTTTAGGAGACTTGGAGATAAGTGGGAAGGGCGGCATCATGGGTGACTGCTAAGTGACATCAGGAGCCATTTTCCAGGGTCAGAGTGAAAGATTTTCTTCTGTTAGGCAGCCAGGTTCCCCTGGAGAAGCAGAGGGTCTAGACTGGACAGAGCCGTCATTGGTGGTTAGGGTAACGGCTTATGCTTCCAGTCCTGCAAGTGACTTGCTAAGAAACCTTGGATGGATTTCTTCAGGTGCCAAGTCAAAGTCAGGAACGGTTTGAGATCACCTGACGAGACGTAGCACAAAAGTCCACTTAGCTGCTTTTAATAAACTTCCCTGAGCAGGGAAAGTGGTTAGAAACAAGCCCCTGGTGGTCTTGCTTTACATTTCCTAGTTCAGCCTTGTTTATGGAGAGACACTTGCAGGTCTCCTTACAGGCCAGCCCGGCCTCTTCATCCTGTCAGCACCAGAACCCATCTGGAACCCAGGAAGAGGTGGTCCGTTGTCTTTTAGGCATGGAGCCGAGATGCATTGCCATGAAGGGGTCCAGCTGAAGTGCTCCACGCTGCGTTTGCAGCAGTGAGGGGGAGGAAAAACAGCCCCCACACTGGGACTGCCGGTGCCAAGAAGCCAGGGGACGGGACCTTCGCCTACAACTGCCTCTCCCTTGTCTGTGTCATTCTCAGCAATGGGTGACCAGCCGGCAGATGCGCTTCGAAGGTGGCTTTCAGGGCCGCTGCAACAAGCTGGTGGATGGCTGCTACTCCTTCTGGCAGGCGGGGCTCCTGCCCTTGCTGCACCGCGCACTGCATGCTCAAGGTGAGCCCGAGGGGCGGCGGGGCGGGGGGGTGGCTGGCGGGGGCCTGGCCATGTCCCGCGGCTGCTCACCAAGTCAGGAAGCCAGAGTGCTTTTTTAGGGGGACAGAAATGAGCTCTGTCTGTCCCGGATTTCGAGTGCCCGGTGTGGAACCTCCTGCCTTGGGCATGCATGCGCAGACCAGGATTTAACTCCAGTGGTTCAGTCGCGTTACGGGTACTGCTTCAAACTGGCTGTGGCCGGCAGGCGGTGGGCGCGCGTCCTGGGCCCCGGGGTGAGTGTCGCCTTAGCTGGGTGTGAAGCCACAGTTTCCAGTGCAGAGTTCCGTACCAGTCATATCAGAACTGAGAACCCGCGCTCTGCACGTCACGGTCACAATAGTGACCACAGAGGCACTTTCAGAAAGGGGCAGAGAAACAGAACCCATGGGGAAAAGATCCACCATGTCTGACAGACTTTGTAGTTGCCGCCATTAGAAACATCTTAAGTTCATTGGAGAGTCCTAAATGCAAGTTTGTTCCCCCCCTGCGCCTGGAGTGGAGAGACCTATGTTCATTTCTGTGGAGTCTCAAATGGGAATTCCAAACCGAAGCACTTAGAGAGCAAGCAAAATTTCTGGGAGCCTTCCTTTGTTATCTCTTGAAATCTCAGGTTGCCTGCGGACTCCCAAATCATCCTAATTTATTTTATGTGAGAGCAGGGTGTCCCTGAGGAAACCAGTGGGAGAGGGGGAGTCATGGCTGCCCGCCTGGGTCCTGATCTGTTCTTGGAGTGAGATCCCTTGGCCCAGAGGGAAGGTTTTCTTTGGACTTAGTAGTTGGGTAATTACTCGCTCAAATGTGGAAGATGAGATTCCTCCCTACTGCCTTGCCGTCCCCACATGCCTTTTCTTCTTCTTTGGTTGTTCTTTCTGAGCCCCTTTCTTTGGTTTCTTCATTTCATGTGAGTTGTGGCCACTTTGGATACGGACTCGAAGTAAACAGAACCTCTGCCTATCTTCCCATTCTCCCAGTCGTAGTCTGTCCTGAGATTCCTTGCCTGGGGCTGCAGAGCTTTCGGTTTCAGGGCGTTAAGATATATCATTCCCCTGACTCTGGAGCCTGCACTGTCCCTGGCTTGACCATTGTAATAGAGAAGACAAGAACTCCCCAAGAGTCCAATGTTTTCAAAGCAAAAATAGCTTGGAGTTTTAGTGATTTCTTTATCTGGAACTGGTGAGGTGAAGCCCCTGGTAAAATGGTCAGCCTTTCACAAGCCTGCCCCTGGGGGGGATGCGATGCAGTCCTGGTGCTGTCGCCAGGAGCATCCCGGAGAGAGCTGTTACAGGAGCGGCACCTGCCAGTGTCTTCGGTGGGGGGTGGGATGACGGGGGGCTGACATTTTGTTTATTGTAGCACACGCTCTGGAGGCCTAATCGCATGCAAAGCTTTGCCTGAGGAAAAGGTTGCCTGTGAATCTTGGGCCTTGCAGCTTTTTTCAGTGCTTGGGAGAAGCCCTGGGTTGGGCTTGAAGCTCACCCACCTCTCAGCAGCAGTGATAAAGGAAAAAGGGAAATGTCTTAAGCAGTGGGCATGATACCGACATTGGGAGTCAAAAGGAGACGATGTGTAGAAAGATACTCATAATATACTACGATCAAAGGTTTCAAAGCAGTATGTATATAATTCCATTTTTTTAAAGAGAGAGAGTGCAAGCATTGGGGGAAGGGCAGAGGGAGAAGGAGAGAGAGAATCTTAAGCAGGTTCCACGCCCAGCGAGGAGCCTGACAGTGCTCGATCTCACAACCCTGAAATGGTGACCTGAGCCGAAATCAAGAGTCTGATGCTTAGCTGACTGAGCCAGCCAGGTGCCCCTATAATTCCATTTTTTAGTGAAGAGTTGACTCCAAAAAATTACTAGAAGGTATCTGGGTTGTGAAATGACAGGTGATATTTGTTTTCTTTCATGTTATTTTTATCTTCTGATTTTCTACAATTAATTTGTATTTCTTGTATAAAGAAAAATAAATGTTATTTTACAAAAGAAGAGAAATTCTATAAACAAAGCAAGTAGCAAGGTGGGAAAAATTATTTGTGACAAATGACAAAGGGCTAATTTCTTTAATTTGAGAGACTCCTACAAATCACTAAGAAATAGCTAAACAACCCCCCTGAAACCCAGGCAGAGGATCTGAACGGGGAGATTCCGAACAGGCAGGGAAAGAACTCCTGGTGGTGTTACTTCTGCTACCATTGCCCCTCCTCCTGGGCGCTCAGCCTCAGCCTGGGACTCAGCGGAGTCCTTCACTCGTATTTTCTCATTTGAGCCTCAGAACAATGTCATGAAACAGGTACTCTTGTTACCCCCATTTTATAGATGAGGAAACGAAGAACAGCAAGGCTCAGTGACCTGCTCTATGATACCCGATCGCCACCTATGCCGGTGTAACCGCCGCAGATGGCATAAATGGAACAAAAAGATGACAGTGAAAGACATGCAAATAAAATCAGTGGGACACTGGTCGTTTTTACTGTCAGATTGCCAGAGATGAGGAAACGTGGTGCCCAACGTTGGGAAGAGTGTGGGAAAACAGGCACTCTTGTACTGTCAGTGTGGGTGTAAACAGCTGTTTTGGTTTTCGGAGGGTAGTTTGGAGACTTGTTTAAATTACTTAAATCAGGCTAGTGCACGGTCAGGGGAATTTACCTGCAGAGATATTAGCAAAGGATGGGTATTGAGGTGGAGTTTAATGGCAAACAACCGAACTGCTCATGGAAAGGTTAATACGGGTTAAGCGGTTAAGCATCTGCCTTTGGCTCAGGTCGTGATCTCGGGTCCTGGGATCAAGCCCCGCATCGGGCTCCCCGCTCAGTGGGGGGTGTGCTTCTCCCTCTCCCTCTGCCCCTCCTCGCCGCTCGTGCTCTCTCTCTCAAATAAACAAATAAAATCTTTAAAAAAAAAAAAGGGTTAATAGTTAAATATATTACGATTTCTCCATACCATGGTTACATGCAATGGGCTACTATGGAAAACTCTCCGGAACCCAACATAAAGTGTAAAAAGTGTGGTCTGTGTGCACACAGGCTGACAGCCCCACAGCTTTTCCTGGAAGCAAGCAAAACCCCTTTAACAATGGGCACCTTTGGCAGAAGGATGGGAGTTGAAGGGAGGGAGACATATATTGAATTTTTTTTTCCTTCTGGACCATACTCTGCTTTTTTCTTAACTGTGTGCATTCCTACTTTTATCTCAGTAAGCGACCCAATACACTTTTTAAAGGCGATGATCCTATTACTAGTTAAAGAGATAACAAGGGGCCGACCCCTCGCGGCACACACACCCAGTAGGACCTCACTGGCCACCTCCACATAGGTCGCTGGTGTGTGGGTGTAGAACACAGTGGTTGAAGAGAAGAACAAATTACTTAGATTTTTAAACTATAAAATGCTGACTAAATGAGAGAGTTCTTTGGTTTCCTTGGAGCCGTAGGAAAGCAGCAGGCCTGTGAGCGTGTGTTTGGATTGGCAGTTACCGGAGGCTCGAATGTTCTCGGAGGCATACTGCAGGCCTGTTTTTGTCCACCAAAGTTGAGCTACATGTCACTGTACCTGTCCGTTACTGTTTGGGAACACTTTTCTAAGAGAATCTTTGAGATGCAAAATGACATGATGGGGATTTGTAAGGTGAGGGAGAGGCATGAATTATTTAGAAGGCTGATCCCAGGGCCGTCAGCAGCACCCTGTAATCCCGTCTACCTTCATCTGTGATTTGTGTGGTGCTGCGCAAATTCCAAGATCCCAGGAAGCTCCTTGTTGGGTTTGTGAACTTTGAGCTTGCAGACTTCCGTAATACAGCACGGCAGACTTCCGTAATACAGCACGTCACTGACCCACTCTGTAATCTGTCTAATAGTAAACGTAGCCGTTGCTTTTCACATTCTGATTTTAGTGATAGGTGAGCACTTACCTTAAAATAATAGTCTTTTATTTCTTATGAGATATAGAATAAAGGTATATTTTGTACAGATGTTTAATGCAGTTTAAGACATTTGCTTTTAAAAAAAAACAGCTTCCTTGAGATATAATTCACATAACCATACAATTCACTTATTTAAAATATACAATTCATTGGTTTTTAGTGTCGTCACAGATTTGTGCAACCATGACCATAATCAATTTTAGAATTTTCCTCACCTCCCCAAAGTCCCTGTACCTATTAAATAGGCTTCTTTATTTTTTTTTTAAAGATTTTATTTATTTATTTGAGAGAGAGAATGAGAGAGAGCACATGAGGGGGGGGAGGGTCAGAGGGAGAAGCAGACTCCCTGCTGAGCAGGGAGCCCGATGCGGGACTCGATCCCAGGACTCCAGGATCATGACCTGAGCCGAAGGCAGTCGCTTAACCAACTGAGCCACCCAGGCGCCCTAAATAGTCTTCTTTAAAGAAGAAATCACAAAGGATTGATTGATTACAGCAGAGAAAAATGTATGCCTGTAGCATTAAATGGAAAACACAAAATACAAAATTATAATAACTATATAGAAAAATGCATAGAAACGAAAAAAGACTGGAAAAAAATTAGCTTTTAATTGCTATTTACAAATTGTTTGCTATCTTTGTAGTAGCCCAGGGATCAAAATATAAAATTAATCAAGGACTGAATGCACGTGTGTAGTTTTTTGTTTTTAAATTCTTTTTTTTTCAAAGATTTTATTTATTTATTTGACAGAGAGAGACAGCGAGAGCAGGAACACAAGCAGGGGGAGTGGGAGAGGGAGAAGCAGGCCTCCCACCGAGCAGGGAGCCCGATGCGGGGCTCGATCCCAGGACCCTGGGACCATGACCTGAGCCGAAGGCAGATGCTTAACGACTGAGCCACCCAGACGCCCTCATGTGTATAGTTTTTAAAAACCAATTCCCATGTAAGTGCTTCTGCAAACATCCATCTGTTGGCAGTCTGTCTCTCCTCCCCACTTGATAACTGTACAGTACACAGAATTCTCTGACCGTACGGATTCAGCTTCAGAGTGTAGAAGCCCAGTTGCTTGTCCCTACTTTAGTATTATTACCGCAATTGCCAGTTTCTGCTGCTACCATATTAGATGACGCAAGAATCCTGGCAGTTACTAGTAATGCTTCTTAGGAAAAGTTTTTGAGCCAAGAGAAAAGTTGGAGGACGCCCTTTGGAGATAGATTAAGTTCAGGCTTAGAAAACAGAAGGAACAGACATCACTCCTGTTGCGAGTTCCCTTAGCCAATTGGAGTGAGACATATGCTAGACAAAGTTTCTTAGGAAGCCCAGAGCAGTATAGGGCCCCTGGCTGGCGCAGTTGGTTAAGTGTCTGACTCTTGGTTTTGGCTCAGGTCATGATCTCAGGGTTGTGGGATCGAGCCCCGTGTCGGGCTCCAAGCTCAGCACGGAGTCTGCTTGGGACTTTCTCTCCCTCTCCCTCTGCCCCTTTCCCGCCCCTCAAATAAAGAAAATCTTAAAAAAAAAAAAAAAAAAAAAAAGAAGAGGAGTAGGGACTTGTGGACTGAGTCAGGGGTAGTAACAGGGTCGATCTGGAAGGCGGAGCTACCGAGCCACCTTCAGGGATGTGGTTTCGGATGGGCACCCACTCTGCACTGCTGCTCTGACTCGAGTCGAAGGTCAGGAGAGGGACATATCATGGGACTTGTGTGAAGGTGTTAAGTGTCCTGAGAATGTAATTTTCAAAATTAGTCCAGGAAGAATAGAGGGAAACCTTAACTGTCCCCAGTGGGTAATAAGATATAAAGATATCATTGATACCGTGTTGGCTGTTTCCCTGGCGTGGGCCCGCCCTGATCCTCTGCCTTCCTGCAGGCGACCCTGCTCTCAGCATGAGCCACTGGATGTTTCATCAGCAGGCCCTGCAGGAGTACATCCTTATGTGCTGCCAGTGTCCCGCCGGGGGGCTTCTGGATAAACCTGGCAAGTGAGTGCCTTCTCTCAGGAGAGGGAGGGACGGGGAAGGGAGAGAGGGTGGGCCACTCAGGCCTACCTCTGCAGAGGTGTGTGGGGGTGGTGTGTGGGGGGTCCCTTTCTATCCAGCTGCTTAGTACTAGGGTGAAGCACCCCCATGGGGGCACCCCTTCTAGTTCCATCCTGGCACCTCCGAGCTTACATGCACTCCCCTCTCCAGGTAGGTATACAGATTGCCGGGGTGTAGCTTTTCTTTCCTCCTCTTTTTTTTTTTTTTTTTAAATTAAACTGATCTAAATAGAATAGGATACAGGATTTTAAAACGCTTGAGTGTCATGAACAGAAATTACAGTCACAGCTATTGCCACGTAGATTAAATATCTTTAGGTGCCACAGTCAAAGAAAAGGGATATCAGATAAATCCTGTCCCCCTCGCTATTGGGCATGCGCACACCCTGCCCCTGTCAACATCCAGGGGAGGGCCCAGCTCAAGGCTAGTCCCCAGCAGTTGATCAGGAAGAATTTGACCCATTTCTAAGCATTTTGGTAGTCTTTTGGAGAAGTATACTAATTTAACACCAGCACCATCCTGGAGAGCCCTTTCCAGAAGACAGCTGGAGGGCCCCTGGAGGGGCCTACTCCACAATGCCAGTTCCTGCTGTGGGGCAGGACGGAAGGATGGGGCTTTGAGAAATGCTGCCGGGTGGCAATGGGACGTGGGGGTGCATCCTGGGCCTGGATCTCTTGTTGGAGGCTGTGCCTGTGAGGATTTGTGGGCAGTGGAGGAGCCCCTGCTCAGAGTCACCTTGTCCGTGCAGGTCTCGGGACTTCTACCACACCTGCTACTGCCTGAGTGGCCTGTCCATAGCCCAGCACTTCGGCAGTGGGGCCATGGTGCACGATGTGGTCCTGGGTGTGCCGGAAAATGCTCTGGTAAGACGGGATGGGGGGCTTGACACCCCTTCTCCACAGGGTCCCCAGGACTGTGCACAGACCTGTGAGCGCGCCGCCCCCCTGTCCTGGATCTGCAGCCTTCTGGGAGGAGCTGGTGACTGATGAGGGAACTGCCTCAAGGCAAACTCCGGCTTCCAGGTGGGGGGATCCATCTGTGACGGAAGTTCTGTGCCTTTACCCCCTGCCTCAGGACCCAGACCTCTTGCCATTAGTTTGTCCGGGGCAGCGTACTCAGAGGCAGTACGTTTCTGGAATCTGCAGTCACGCAGCCCCCACCGCATGTCTGTGGGAGCCCTCAGCTGGTGTAGCAGCTCTCCAGAGGAGCTTCTGTGAGGTCCCCCCAAAATGCGCCGCCATGGCGCCCTGTGTGTGCCCTCCCTAGCACTCAGCGCAGTTTGTAATGTGTGTGTTTAACTTGTTTTTGTCTGCTGCCCCCCAAAACTGTCAGCTCCGCGAGGGCAGCGTGTTCAGCCCGCCTCCAGCCCTAGAGCAGCCCAGCCGCAGGAAACACCCCTGAGCCCAGACGTGAGCCTGGGACACGAATCCATCCAACACTGTCCGCAGCCAACAAATAATGGGGCCTGTGCAGACTGTCACGAAATAGTTCCAATAGAAGAACACAGATGGCCAGTAGATGGATGAAAAGATGCTCAGCCTCACTGATAAGCAGGGAAAATCGGAGTAACCACCACTCAGCTTTTTCAAGTCTTAACATTTTTCCATATTTGCCTCCCACGCAACCCTTCTCCCTGTCTCGCTCTCCCTGTCTCGCTCTCCCTGTCTCGCTCCCCCTGTCCCCAGCATCACCTTGTCCTAAGTCTGACACTCGCCATGGCTGCAAGTGTCTTTGTGCTGTCACTGTGTGTGTGTCCGTCAGCAACACAGACAGGGTAGGCTCTCATGCCTGTTAGAGCACGATCCACCGTGCGTTGCTTTTCTTGCTGACCATGTACTTCTGATGTTTATCTGTGTTCATGTGTTGCTCTGGTTTACCCATTTTAACAACTATACGGCATTCCCATGTGTAAGTGTACCCCAAATTCTCGGTTAACATCGAGGTGGTTTTGGTTCGTGCTGTTGCAGACAGACTTGTAGTGTCCTTTGTGGTAGTTTGTCTAGGAGAGACTCGCTGGTTGAAGAGAAACACTTGATCTTCACTAGACAGCGCCTACCCATCCCCCACGTGGTTGTGTTATTTGACGCTCACGCAGTACTCAGGGTGCTGCTCCGTAGTCCGACCTTTCCTTTCTGCCATTTGATACATGGGAAGTGGTACCTCAGTTTTATTTTTGCATTTCCCTGATTACTAGTAAGCTTGAGCATCTTTTCAGAAGCTCATTGACCATTTGTGTTACGGCTTCCTTGAATTGGCTGCCATCTGCTTGCCATCAAACAATTTAATTGTTTGCCCTTTTCTTGTACATTTGTTGGAGTTCTCTGTGTGTTCTTGATAGTAATCCTGTGTCGGTGGTGTGTGTGTAGTGAATCTCTTCCAGTTCGTGACTTGTCTTTTCACTTTTCGTGGGATTTTTTTGTTGTTGTTGAATAGGAGATTTTAAATTTTATAGTGAAAAATTTTACTGCCTTTTTGGTTTTTGAGGGTGTGGAGGGGTACTTAAGAAATCTTTTCTTACCCTGAGGTCATACATATATTTTCTTCCCAACAGTTTAAAGTTTTGCTCTTCCCATCTGGATTTTTAATTCTCCTGGAATTGATTTTTGTCTGTGGTGAGGGGTGGATATAATTTTATCTTTTTTCCATTTGGATGCCCAGTTCACCAGCACCACCACTAATGGAAGTTTACAACTTTCCTTCTGATGTGTGTCCCATATACATCACATACTCAAGTTTCTATATCTGAGGTGACTCTTTTCTGTTCCTTTGGTCTGTTCACCTGTCTGCACTATGTTAAGCAAATCTTAAATGCAGGTAGGCAAGTCCCATCCACCTTGATCTTTTTATTCAAAATTGCCTTGCTAGTCTCTGCTTTTTGCTTTTTCCTATGGATTTTAGGATCAGCTTATCAAGTTCCACAAAAAGCTATAATGGAATTTTTATGGGAATTTGCACTGGATTTAAGATTAATGGGAGAGAACTGACTTCTGAGGCTTTCCGTTTGTGAACACAGTTTTTCAGATTATCTTACACATCCTTCAATGGTCTTTTATCATTTTCTCCACAAAAGACTATCACATCTTTTGTTAGACTTGTACCTAGGAAATTTATAGTTTTTGTGTCTGTTGTGATTGCAATATTTTTTCCATTATATTTTGTAACTGGTTGTTACTAATGTACAGAAATGATATTTATATTTTAATTTTGTATCCAGCCACCTTGATGAACTTGCTTAATAGTTGCAATAGTTTGTAGAATCTCTTGGATTTTCTATTTAGAATGTGATGTTATTTTAAAATGAGGACAGTTTTGCCTTTTTCTTTCTGATTCTTTTTTTTTTTTAAGATATTTATTTATTTAGAGAGAGTATAAGTGGGGGGAAGGGCAGAAGGTGAGGAAGAGAGAAAATCCTCAAGCAGACCTAGGGGCTCAATCTCATGATTCTGAGATCACAACCTGAGCTGAAACCAAAAGTTGGACACTCAACCAACTGAGCCACTCAGGCACCCCTTTCTTTCTGATTCTGAAGAGTTTTATTTCTTTTTCCTGCCTTAGGATATTGGCTAAGACCTACATAGAGTGCTGACTGGAGATAGTCATAGGGGGCGCTCCTTATCTTGCTCCTGGTTGTAATGGGAAGGCGTCTATAATTTCACCATTATGTAGGATCCTTACTGTTTGTTTGTTTAAGATTTTATTTATTTATTTATTTATTTATTTATATGAGTGAGAGAGAGTGCACAAGCAGAGGGAGGGGCAGAAGGAGAGGGAGGGGCAGAGGGAGAGGGAGAAGCAGGCTTCCCGCTGAGCAGGCAGCCTGATGTGGGGCTCCACCTGAGCTGAAGGCGGACTTTAACCGACTGAGCCACCCAGGTGCCCCAGGGGGATTTTGATAAATATTTCTGATCTGGTTAAGGATGTTACTTGCCCTCTCTTCCTGGTTTGCTAGGTTGTTGTTTTGTTTCAATCATAATCTAATATTATATTTTATTGAGTGTTTTTTCTACACCTGATTTTCCTCCTTTAATCGAATATGCTATTATTTTGTTAATAAATGTTCTGATGTTAACCTTACATTCTCGGGATCAGCCCTTCTTGGTTATAGGACACTGTGTGTGTGTTTATTTAATACATTGCTGGATTCAGTTCGCTAGTATTTTTTGGCTAGTATTTTTGTTTAGGATTTTTTGCATGATATTCATAAGAAAAACTGATCTAAAATTTTTGTTTTATTGTATTGCTGTTTCCAGTTTAAATTTCAGGATAATATCTTAGCCTGGGTATTAGATGGGTATTTTCTCTCCCTGCTGCGCCGCCCCCCACCCCCCGCCTTTCTTTTTTTAAGTCTTTGAGAACATTTGTACAGGTTAGAGATTATCTGTTTCTTGTAGGTTTGATAGCACTTGCTTGAGAAGCCCTCTAGGCCTGGTATCCTGGGGCAGGAATGATGGAAGCAGAATAACCAATTACATTATTGATTTCATTTATTCATGTACATTTTAAAGACCTTCTTGAGTAAATTTTGAAAATTTATATTGCTCTATAGAGTTACTTAGTTTATCTGTACTTTTATATGTTTTGGCATTAAGTCGCTCATAGTATTCTCTCCTAAAAGTTTTAAAACTTAGGGGCACCTGGGTGGCTCAGTCAGCTGAGCATCTGACTCTTGATTTTGGCTCAGGTCATGATCTCGGGGTCATGAGATCGAGCCCTGTGACAGGGTCTGCGCTCAGGGTGGAGTCTGCTTGGGATTCTTTCCCTCTCCCTCCTCGTCCCTCCCGGTTTGCTTGTGCTCTCTCTCTAAAATAAATAAATAATATGTTAAAAAAAAAAAGTTTTAAAACCTCTCCTGCAATTCTGTCCCCTTCTTCATTCTCCCCAGATGGAAGAGTCGTGAATATTGGCCTCCAGTTGTGCTCTTAGACCAAAAGTTTCTTTTGGGTTTCTGTGATGTAGTGGAATAATAGAAAAGAATTTAAACATGGCCTGATACCTTTACTGCGTCATAAGGTTGTGGTCCTTTTTCCTGATTACAAATGTAAATACATGGTGTTTGTTTTAATAATTGGAATATATATAAAAGTATAATTAAGAAAATTTAAAACAATCCTATCACTGTTCCTGTTTGGGTGTATGTCCAATTTCTGCCTGTAAATCACATCTATAAACACATTTTCAAAAAGTTTGGGATAACGTTGTGCATACCATTTCCCTCTCTTAATACCTTATAAGCATTTGCCCGTATCATTAAATATTTTGAAAGCATGTTTTTAAGTGGCTACATAATACTCCTTTGTGTCCCATGTACTATTAGATGTTTTTACTAATACCTTGTTGGTGGACATCAGGGCTTTGTGGGACGGATCTCCCTGGGTGTCTCTGATGAGTCCTTCTTCTGCTAAATTCTTACAGGTGCATTTAACTGCTTCAAGGCTGTGCACATTCCCAAGGACCACCGGGGCGATTAACTGGCATCTGCCCTTCTCTTTGCAGCACCCCACTCACCCTGTGTACAATATTGGACCAGATAAGGTGATCCAGGCCACCATGCACTTTCTGCAGAAGCCAGTCCCAGGCTTTGAAGAGCACGAGGCTGAGGCACCAGCAGAGACCGCCAGCACCTAGAAGACAAGGGTCCGTGGCTCTGTGCTCACCCACCTTCCCGGTCAGACCAAGGTGTATACATTTCGATACCTACTGCACTCTGTGCTGCACAAGCCTTGGCCACTATGGAGCTGTGGTCCTTTGTCCTTTCTTGTCAAACAAAACAAAACTGATGTCTCTGGGTTTGGAGAACATAGTGGCGTGGTTTTTTAAAAATTCTTTCCACTTCTGTCAAACCAAAAATCTGTCAGCCCGCGCGGCACCTGAACCCAGCTCTGGCCCGGCCAGGGTTGCTGGGGAACAGTGCATGCTGGGCAGAAGCAGCCCCTCGCCGCCAGCTCTCCGGCCCGGGCAGTCGTATTGAAATGAGTGGTGTCTATAAGTTACTGCTGCGACTCCCGCTTGCACGCCACCCTCAAGTCGCCAGGAAGGTGCCCTCCCATGGGTGAAAATAAGTCTGCTCTGTGCCAAGGGGGAGGGGGGGCTTTGGTCCCATCAAAATGAATTCTCTAGAAAAAATCGTGGTGGGACTTCACTAGGAGATGCCCAAGGCTGTCACCTCCCACCACGGTCATTTGCAAGGGAAAGGAGCCGGGGGAGGGGGAGAAAGGTCTTGGGTTGTGAGCTCCTCCCCCTCCGCATCCGAGAACTGAGCCACACCTCTCCCCAGGGCCCCGATGGGTGTGCCAGCGGAGTTGCTTCACCCACCCGGTGTGGTGTGGTGACTTCGACCCAGGAAGCCAATTACGAGTGGCAAATGAACCTCTAGTTCAGTTCTGCGCCCAAGGAAGCAGCCCCAGTGCCCACCGCTCCCCGACCCCATCATGTACCGTGAAAAACCCCTCTCGTGTCTGCAATGGAGCACTGGCGGCCTGTGGCCATTCTGCGTGTTTCCACCTCCCGTCGGACTCCCGGCCCCCTCAAAGGTAGTGTTGTCTTCTCTCATCCCAAGTACTAACGCTACTAAGTCTTTCACCTTAATTTGACTCAGGATTTATTCACGTCCTGCCCACTCTAGGCTCACAGAAATAAAATCAAGTGCTAGATAGGCTGGGGGCCGCCCAGTGTGCTCAGACTGTCGGGGCCTCAGCTGCACGCAGGGACCCCTTTTTGGTCAATGGGGGGTTGAGTCAGGCCACCTGTCCGCGTGGCTGACCTGGCCTTCACGTAAGCAGCCCACAGGAGCGCAGAGATGCAGCAGAGGCTCTTCTCCAAAACTCTGCCCTTCGCAGCCTCTAATTCCCTATTGCTTTGGTGGATGGGGCTATATATTACCTCCTTGAAATAAAAAAGAATAACATTTTCTATGATGTCTCTCATTTGTGATTGGTACCGAGAAAATTCCCTCCGGATGTCCCGTGTTTGGCGTTATTGAATATTGTTCCCGGATCGCCAGTCTCCTGCGTGCAAGGTTCCGGACCCTGTGCGTTAGCAGTTACAGGGCTCTGGCTTGGGGCCCACCTTCAGACACCCACTCCAGCCGAGGCCACAGTGGGCCTACCAGCGGGAGAAGCTGTTTCTCCCCAGCTCCCCAGAGCAATTTGGTTGACTCCCCAGCACTCTACACCGTGTCTCATGGTCCGTCTGTGTGTCTGTCTCCTCCAGCTGACTCTGAGCAGGGACTGTGCTCCTGAGTCCTAAGGCAAGCATTCAGCAACAGGTGGGGGCAGTCATCCTGACCAGAGGCGAGGCAGGGGGCTGTCACCAGAATAGGAACAGGCCAGAATCCCGCAGGCACCTGGCTTTCGTCGAGGGATGAGAAGAGAGTGTCGTCTTTTTGGACTATAATCCCTGCCCCTGGGCTCCCAGTGCCCTGACAACAAAGCTTAGGCTATAGAGCAGCACGGTCAGAGGCATCCTTGCCGTCACTGTAACAAAAGGTCAAGCCCTCGCACCCCGGGAGCCTCCCACAGTGGTAGGGGATGGGTTACAGTAATGGGTGTGGTTAAGAGACAGAAGGGATTGCTCTGGTATGAGCTGGCTTTATTACACCCCAGCCGCAGGGTGTTAGCCGGCCCCAGGGGTAGGTGAAGTGTGCCTCAGTAGAGGAGAGAGGGTCCTTTGCTGGCATTCTTATCTCAGGGCTTTCCACTGGCATAATCATGAGACTCCCTTCCTGCTCCCAGTTGGGTCTGGAGGATTTCCTGATTTTACAGCATTCAAGTGAGTGCTAGAGATGAATTCTCAGATTTATCATGTGGATCCTTAAGTAGAAGGCATTTATGTAGCATTTAAGGTGGGTTACCCCAAATATTTCCCCATCAGTAAAGAAATACAAAACTACCACAGATCTCTATATCCAGATGGGCCCCGGCTTCCCCCTTGGATCCATTTCAGATCCACCTTGAGCCCCATATAAGTTGGGCTCCCTGCAGGAGAGTTCCTAGTAGCTTCAGCATCCCAACTCCAAGGGAAGGGTCATGGTCTGGGACAGGGAAGTAAATGTTCTTTATGTCTGCAGGCTATCCTAGGCTCTCTGTGGCCAGGACTACTAAAATACAAATGCTGCAGAGACCAAATATTAACAAAGATGTAGGATGTCTCTCATTCTCTGGGCTAAGTTCAGTTCAATGAAAGTTTGCTTTCCTAATGCTGATAATCAGACCTGAGGTAAGTGATACAGAGGTCTATCATGGAGGGTTACTCACTGTTGCTTCCAGTTGGGGACACAGGTATTCAGTTGAGGGGGAAGTATTTGCTAATATTTTATTAGTCTACCATCTACGCCAGGGGGCAGCAAATTTTCTCTGTAAAGGGCCAAATACTAAATATTTTAAGCTTTGCAAACCACTACTCCACTTCAGTCTGCCATTGTAGTACAAACAGCCATAGACGAAGTGTGGCTGTGTTCCCATAAAACTTTATGAAAACAGGTGGCGGGCTAGATTTGACCCAGTGGGCTGTAGTTCGCTTACCCCTGATCTAGACTACATCCCATCCGTATTCATTCAGCATTCTTCCACATCTTTCATGGCTGAGATGCTTTCCATGTAATACTAGTCTCAAATGACAAATGGGCTTGGTAAAGTTTGTATCAAATATTCCAGCCACCCACACGCGCCATTCAGGGCATTCACTGCCTTTGAACAGGAAGGAGAACTGTGCGATTTAAGACATGGTTACAACTTGCTTCATGCAAAGAGGAAACAACATGTTGACTCACAAACAGACGTCCAGGAATTAGCTTGGCAGCATGGCTTCGGTAGGTTTCTCCATCTTTCTGCTTCAGCTCCAACCTCGGGCTGTCTCCACGTGGGCGTAAAATGTCAGCAGCGATAGCTCCAGACCTTACAGCCTCTCAGGGTGAAGTTCAGCAGACGGGCAACTGGCACTGTCCCGGCCTTCCGTCACTGTGTGTCATTGGTTTTGATCAAGCCAAGGACCTTTCTGAGAAGCAGCCCAGTGGCCAGGAGATGAGAGTGCACCAACGGACCTAAGTTTGGATCACATGCTTCTCCCATGAGTGGGCAATGGGGTTCCATCAGAAACACACAGTCTAAGAATTGGGAAGGAATGAAGCCGCAAATGCAAATTAGGGTTGTAGCATAAGGGAGGACATGGATGCTAGCAAGACAAACCACCATTGCTCTCTACAACAGTGGATTACGACTGAGATGGAAACCTGTGGTGGACATTGTTGGCATCCATTCCTCCCCTCCCCAACTGTGGCGGCCAATAGGCTTGTGTGGATTTGATCCCCTTCCTTTTTCCAGGTCTAGGCCCTGACTGGCCTCAGCCAATCACCTTAATCCGTCCATCTTCGCTTTAGTAATTTGTTCAGGTTTGGCAATAACCCAAGCCAAAGCCAGTCAAATGGCTTGGGCCAGCCTCACCGATGGATGGGGGGGCCAAGCACGTGGCCTAAAACAGACCAAAGAGAGAGAAGCCCTGGACATTATATGATGGACATTATATATAAAGCACCTCTCTCCTGTGAGGGATGGTGGAACGTGTGGCCTGGGGCTCCTTACAACCATTCTCCTACCTAGAAGGAAGCCGGTCTTAAAAGCAGTACACACAGACTCCCTGACTTACTGAGAAACATGGCCAGAACCCTGATCACACCGCTCCTGCAGCTTGCCTGGTCTCTGGATTTTTCAGCTATGTGAGCCAACCTGAGTTGGATTTACTATTACTTGCAACCAAAAGCATCCTAATACATACAAAACCCGGTCCTGTATTAGCCCCTTGGCCATCAAAGTCCTTACCTGCTGCCTGAAGGACACTGACCCCCCTCTTGCCACATCCACCCAAAGAATAACCACTAAGAGAGTTCCTCCTGACCTACTGCCTTGTCTCATTTGATCCTTGACTCAGCCTCATGAGGCGGGTGAGGCAGGTGTATTATCTGCATCTTACAGCTGTAGAAACAGGGCAGAGAGCTTCAGTGAATCACCCACGTTTCTGAGCTCTTGAGTGGTGGAGTCTGAACCTGACCCCAGATCCGCTACCTCCAAGCCCATGTGTTCCCATCCCCCCAGGTGTCTAAAGGAAGGTGAGATGGGTGGTCTCAGGAATGGGGGCAGGACCTAAACACGCATGGGTTACCTCCAGGGCTGGACAGCTGAGACCGCAAATGCTTGTCCCCATCTTTTACCAGGACAAGGACGGTGACAGCCAACAGCAGGTGCAGGCTCACCTCACCCCTCTAAGCCACCTCCCACTCTGCCAAGTCCTCAGCGTAGAGCGACGCTCCCCGCCCCAAATGGGTGCCCCCCCCAAGTGCGGAGTGTGACACCGCGTGACTCCCAAGCAAGGTCGTGGTGAGTCAGTCTTTCTGGGAGCAGATCATGGCCCTGAAAACAGCCCGCCCTCCGCAGCCTGGCCCGGCCTGCCTAGCTGGTTCCTGGACACCCTCTTTCACTTCCCGGCAATAACCTCGCCTCTGCTTTCCACCAGCTGGTGCAGGAGGGGCCAGAGAACGGCGCCAGGTGCCGGATGCCTCCCTCCCACTTCTTGGGCACATCCAAGAACCAGGCAGGCGGTGCCAGCCCAGCTTAGTGGAAAACTTGCCCTGCCCCTCCTGCATAAACACGACTCCTGCAAAATAACAACAATAGGAACACATTTTAAAAAACAACCTTTTTATTTTAGGACAGTTTTGGATTGACCAAAAAATTGCCAGGATCGTAGACAGAGTTCCCATAGGCCCCTTAAGCCAGTTTCCCTAATGTAAGCATCTTACATTGGGATGGAACCTTTGTCACAACGAATGAACCGATATCGACACATTACTACTAACTAAAGGCCATAGTTCAGTTAAATAACGTAGTTTTGACCTAATGCCCCTTTTCCGTTCCGGGACCCCATCCAGGATACCTCATTACATTCAGGCGTCAAGTCGCTCCTTAGGCTGCTCTTGGCTGTGACAGTTTCTCTTAGACTTTGCTTGTTTTGAGTGACCTTGACAGTTTTGAGGAGTACCGGTCAGACATTTCGTAGTGTCCCTCAATTGGGATTTGTGTGAAAACCATTAGACTGGGGCTGTGGGTTTTGGAAGGCAGGCCCCAGAGGCCAAGCACCCTCTCTTCACATCCTCTCAAGGGGCCATGTGTCCACATGGCTCAACCCTGGGGCCGTTAACCTTGGTCACCTGGCTGAACAGTGTGTGTTTGGTTACCCCACTGTGAGATTCCTCTTTCCTCCCCTTTCCAGACTGTCTGTCCCCCTTAGTAGGAAGTCCATGTGCATGGTCCACACCGCGGGAATGGAGAGTTATGCCCCACATCCTTAAAGGTGGAGTGTCTACATAAATTATTTGGAATTTTTCTGTGGGAGGTTTGTCTTTTCTCCATTTATTTATTCAGTCGTGTTTATATCGGTATGGACTCATGAGTATTGATTTTATACTTTGGGTTATGTTCCATACTATGTTGCTCAGATTGTTCTGGCTCTGGCCATTAACTCTTCCAGTTGGTTCCTATGTCCCTTTGACATCGCCACACTTCCTTACTTAGAAAATAATAAAAAAATAATGATTATGCATTTTGTCATCCCTTTTCTTTCAAGAAGTATGGCATGTTGATAATCGTTGACACTGGATAATGGGTACATTAGGGTTCAGTACACTACTCTCTCAATCATTCATAACATTCAGTTCTTTCCAGAATAAAAAGTACTGCATGCCAGTGATCTTGGATGTGAGACTTCATGTTGTCCCCTGCGTACCTGTGATGGCCTGGGCAGATGGGACAAAGGTGGTGACAGGAGCTGAGGATGTCGGCTCCCAAGTCAGAGAAGGCTAAATGTCGCAGCCTTGTCGAGGGCAGGGCCAGGGGACCCTGGGACTGCAGGGGGCTCTGTCC